CCTCGTTACCAGTCCCTCCTCATTCATTGAGAGTCTGCCACCACCTGCTTGCTAGGGGGGCCATCCTCAGTGAACCATGAATGGAATATTACCCTAGAATTTCTCAGCTGTACAGATGATTAGGGAATAATGGTTTTAGTTCATCCTATGTAATTGTTATCGTCTTAGAAATGTAGGGAAAAGATGAAAACATTGGTTGTGGGAGAGAATCTATTCTGATATTAAGATTCAGTCGAGGGAGACCACATGAGGCTCTTTAGCTAGTCCCAGCGGTTATGACTGGGAAGCTGCCTGAGCCTGAGATTCCAAAGCTTCTGTTCAGTGTCCCTTCAGCCAGCTGGCTCTCACCTGATAGGGCAAACACCTGAGACAACCAACTTAAACTGAGGAAAAGTCTATCTGGTCTCATGGTCACAGATTTCAGTCCATAGGCAGGTGGACAACTGCTTTGAGCTGGCTGGTGAGAGTATCCTATGGCAATGTGGGGGGAGCCTGTGTCAGGGTAAAACTGATCACTTCCCCACCAGGAAGTAAAAGAGGTGGGAAGGGGCCTGCAGTTCCTTTCAAAGGCCTGCTCAAATTTCCCAAAGACCTCATTAAGTTTCCATCTCTTAAGGGTGTAGTAGCACTATGGAGGCCAAAGCCTTTGTTCATGAGGCTTTGGAGGAACACTTAAGATGCATATTGGCAGGGATTCATTTATAAAAAAGCAAATGAGCGATGGGCATAGAATGCATCTGCTCCTTAATCTCTATCATTCATTCATTTCATGAGGATTTCTTGTGAGAGTCCTGTGTAATAGGCATTGTGGTAAACATTTAAGGACTTAAAAGCCAAAAAAAAATTTTTTCTCTTACACAGCTGAGGGTCTGGTGGAGAAATAATTATGCAAATAACAATAACATAGACCTCAGAAGTGAAGTTTGAAAAGGAAGAGACGGTGCCATCATGTATTTTATCACAGCCATTGCAGGCATAGAAGGAGGTCAAGGCTAAGGGTAGGAGACCGTGTGAAGTGGGAGATGCTAAATTCATTGGCTGTGGGCATCAGAGGGTAGGTTAACCTGGCCCTGGTCGTGGAAGCAACAGCAGGAAGAGGAGGTGTGGGCTAGAGGCCTTCTAGGAATTTCCATTTTGCGAGTTTGGTGATTGGATGTGAATGTAAAGCAGACAGAGATGATTCTAGATTTCCAGCCTGGGCCCTTCGAAAGCTAATTGTATTATTTGCTTAGGCAGTGACTACTGGAATGGAAGAAGGTTTAGGAGCAAATGAATTTAGTTTGGAGCTGTCAGTTTGAAGGGTGGTTTTGAAGGGGTAGGAGTCTCTCAGATGTGTGACCCAGTCAGGGAATCAGACTGAGAGAAGAGCCCTGTGGGCTGTGGCAGGAGACCCACTTTTCCTGAAATACTCTTAGGACAGTGCCAAAGCAATGATGGCACCAGAAAGCCACATTAAGGGGTTTTCTTTTTTCTTTTGTAGCCATTACTAATTGTGACAGATTAGATGCATGAATATTTACTTCTCCACCCCCTTCCTTCTGAGGGCCGCTACCAGGTACTCAGACATCTTCTCAAGTTCCCCTTCACGTGAGAGAGAAGACAGAACTAATTTTGTGTGTGGTTTATGCTGCGACAATTTGTCTGTTTCCTGAGGACACAGGGTGGGTCAGAAGCAGACAATGCAAATATCTCAAGGCAGATGCCAGACTGGGTGCCTGCGTCTCTTTCTCTGGGTCTGCGGATGCAGGAGTTCCTCCTACGCACATCTTCTGGGTCCTGCAGTCCTCTCTGTGCCCATGTCAGGGATGCCCAGCCTGTGCTGTCTGCTGTCTCCAAACGCTTCCTGCCATTTCCTTCCACTCTCCTTGGGTACCGAATTCCCTCTGTCTTAGCACATACAGAAAACCGTGTCTGTTGACCATTCCTCTTGGTAGTCAACAATCAAACTAAAATATTTATAATGTGTAGAAAAGCCCTAGAAAGACATTTTGGTCCCATAGATGTCTCTCTTCACTTATTGAAACCTCAGGGTGGTATGAGGTATTACAGGGCTTTTGCACCAAGGACTGCTTACGTGAAGGAACATCTCCTACCTATCATCTGGCAAACCATTCCTCATTCAACAATTGTCTTAGCCTTCCTCTGCTGGAGATAACTGACAACTTCTAGGCTGCCTGAGCCAACGTACTGGAAATAGACCCAACTATGTCATTGTGGGTTTGTTGGGTCTCTCAGGGCTGGTGTTGGTTGTGTGTGGGAAGGAGTGGTAAGGAGCTAGAGCCCTCAAAGATGGCTGGTGGACCAAAGAGCCACAGAGCTTCACGGTGTGTCTGTGTTGATAGATCCTGGAGTCATTTCAGATCAGACTAAAGGGGCAGCAGGAGGGTGTGGCATTTGACAATCTAGGAGCCAGGAAGACCTTCTGGATATGAGCTCACATAGGACAGGAGTTATTCCCAGCTCCCCAGCGTGGTGTGAAGCTAATATATCAATTTGTTAAATGTTGGAAATTGAGCTATGACAACAACAGGCTGAATAAAGAAGGGATTATTTTGGGGAGGGGGATAAAAATCTAAGAGAAGGGTGAAAGGTTCTCAGAACCAGGGGTAGTTCATGAGCTCTGTAGAGCAGGTGTGTCTCTATGTAAATCGAATCCAGAAACTAAGCCACGCACTCCAAATCCAAAATATCAGGAAGTGTGTGCACACTTTCTCCTGTAGCCACTGTGGTCTTTCTTCCTGACATTTGAGATAACAAAGGTAATATTTTAGACAGGGTCTTATGTAACCCAGCATGGCCTGGAGATCACTCTATAGCTGAGAATGACCTTGAACTTCTGATCCTCCTACACCTGTACTTCCTGAATTCTTGAACAGAAGGCTTGCATGACCACATCAAGTTTATATGGTGCCCTGGATCAAACCCATGACTTTGGGCATGATAGCCAAGCACTCTACCAACTGAGTCAGGGTCCCATCACTGCAAACACATTTTAAACAGGCAATTAAATCAAGGCCTCTTGAAACCCAAGACATTAGTGGTGGCTTGAAGTCGTCTGTGGTTGGTTATGGATGTTCTTTGACTCTTGAAATGGAAAATCACGGACAAGTCAAGATGTCTGTGGGAACTCCAAAGTTTTCATCCTTTTGGATCTGCTTGTTTGGTAAACTGAGGCAACCGTCTGCTCTAGAATGCCCCTCCCCCCTCAGCAGTTCGTTCAGGTCTCACACGCTCTTGAGCTATGACTGACTGTCTGGACAAAGCAGCTGCCTCTTAGGAGGATGCCACAAGTGACCCTCATCTGGTTTGCACGGCTTCTCCAGGTGGAACCTGATCATCTCAACCTCTTATTGCTCCAGCCACTTTATAGGTTGCCTTGGGTTTCCGCCTCTAGTGCCTTCCTTGCTGCTGCTCTGTGAAAAGGCCTCTTGATTTATTAATCAATTAATCAGTGTATGCTGAGGAACTGCTCAGGGTAGTTAAACAGGGAAAACAAAATACTAGGGCCCATCACCCAGACAGATTGTGGTTAGGAACCAGCCTCCCACTGACGGTCTTCCTGCCCACCCTGGCTCCCCTGCGTTACCATCCCTGTACGCCGCTCAGTCCAGATGGATCTCTGCTCCATAAAAGCTGACAGCGCTTTTTTGAAGAGCATATTTTTTTTTGGGGGGGGGGTGTCCTAGAGGAGACAAGCTTCATCTGTTACTCACAATAACTGTTGAATTTTGCAAATTCTGCTAGGCCCAAAATACGCCTAGGTGGTTCTGCTCATACGTGCATGGACACGTATCCTATCCTGCTTTCCCCACAAATAAAGTCATGGATCTGGAAGGATATTAAGCAAGGACAGGGCACAGTGAGGAGAGGTTCAGTGCAATGGGTAAGATATCTAAGGTCATGCAGAACTCCAGGGACACAAGGAACAGAAGTGGGAAATGTTTGGGCACCCATTCACATGCCCGGAGCTATTTCTTTCCATAGTCCTGTTTCTGTGGAAGCTAAAGCAAAGTGAAGGAGAGCTAGCATCTTCATCACCCCCACTTGTCTTTTAGAGATGACCTTGGGGCATAAGCTATGGGATTGGGGGTTAAGAAATGGGCCTCACTACGTAGCCCAGGCTAGCCTGGAACTTCTAGCAACCCTTCTCAGCTCCCCTAGTGGTGGCAGGAGGCAGGTGCAGGTGTGACCCACTACACCTGGGTGAAGAGTTTTTTTTTTTTGATTTTTTTTTATGATTTATTTATCTTTTATTTTATGTGCATTGGTGTGAAGGTGTCAGGTCCCCTGGAATTGGATTTCAGACAGTTGTGAGCTGCCATGTGGGTGCTGGGAATTGAACCCGGGTCCTCTGGAAGAGCAGTCAGTGCTCTTAACCGCTGAGCTATTTCTCCAGCCCCGGGTGAAGAGTTTTTTGTGGTGGTTTTAGGTAAAGCCTGTGGAGGATATGGGGGAGCAGGTACAGAGGACAGCTCCTCATGGGGGCCAGTGAGGGATCCGAGGTGCCGGCAGAGGAGCATTGGCTGCTGGAACAGCCGGATCCTCCATCTAGAATCTACTTGGTTAGTGTTCTTCCCGATGGCACTGACTTGGCACACATGACGCTGAAGCCGAAGTTTAACAGGATAGACGCTCTGTTCCCAGTCACAAGTGGCACCTCCGTCCCTTGCCAGCTTTCTGCCACCCAGAATGGGGCACTCACCCCCACCATGCTGGGCTAGGGAGGGAGCAGGTTGTCCAGAATTCTTTGGTGGACACAGGAGAGTCTAAAATGCCCTCCTTTGACTGAGCAGCAGGGGTGCTTAGAGGTTGTGTTTTGTTTGGTATCTTTTAGATTTTCAGCCCTTATGCACGTGTCCACATTTGGGGCTCCTCCTGGCCAGGGTTCTTCCTGGTGGACGCTGCTCAAGCAGTCGAATCCTTGGGCTGTAGACATTTAAACTGGACTCCCCAGCATTGAGTGACGCCCTGTTCCTTTCTTCTGTTTGTGTGTCCTCCAGGACCCTGCGTTCGCTGCTGTGGTTCACGACAAACTCCAGGTCCCTAACGCCATCAGGAAGTCATGGAATGACCGAGACAACCGCTGTGACATTTGTGCCACACACCTGAACCAGCTAAAGCAGGAAGCCATCCAAATGGTGCTCGCCTTGGAGCAGGCAGCTGGCAGCGAGCACTATGATGCCTCTCCGGGCTCACCCCCTCCGATCTCCAGCATTCCTGCACTGGTGGGGTCCCGGCACATGGGTGGGCTCCAGCAACCCAGGGAGTGGGCCTTTGTGCCCGCCCCCTACGCCACCTCTACTTACACAGGCCTCGTCAACAAGCACAGCGGTAAACCCAACAGCCTTGGGGTCAGCAACGGCGCGGAAAAGAAGAGTGGATCCCCAACTCACCAGGCCAAAGTTAGCCTCCAGATGGCCACCAGCCCCAACAATGGGAACATCCTTAACTCAGTGGCCATTCAGGCTCACCAGTATCTGGATGGCACCTGGTCCCTTTCAAGAACCAATGGGGTTACCCTGTACCCCTACCAGGTAAGCACCTCTACAAGCAGAGAAATGCAGGGGTTCCCTCCTCAGATATCGAAATGAACGCACACTCCAGATCTCTGTCTAGAAGTTAAGAATCAAGGAAGCAGGTTGAGTGATTCTCCTTTCTCCTTCTGGGAGCTTCCATATAATCCCACAGAGTTCTCACCAAGGAGCTCCAGTCAGTCTGGCATGCTTTGAGGGAGAACCTGTCAGCTCCCAATACCTAACCTCTTCTTGCTTAGCTAATATTTCTGCCCCCACCCCTGAGGGATTTTAATGGTTTGGGCAGTGCCAAGTAATAGCCCCCAGCTTTACTGTGTGGTATAGTGAATAAGAGCAAAGGCCTGGAAATGCTCAGACTGGCCCAATACTCTAACCTGTACCCATGCTAGCAAAACAACTTAGCACAAAGGGATTGCCCTATCCCGGGCTCTCCATTTGGAATTGATAGAACAGTAGTAAGGATTAAATACAGATATTTATTAGATATAAAGTATATATCACTAAAAATTTAGATGAAAGTTTGTGTTGGCCTCCTGTTCCCATTGTCTGCACCTTCTAAAAGGAGTGGAGAACCTCTTGTACCTTGGCAGATCTTCACGTTTTTCTGTCTGAGACTCATCTTTATGTTGGACCTAATCACAGAAGCCTTCCTCCCTTGGTTTCCTCCTTTCTTCTTTTCCCTCTTTGGGTACCGAATTGAGCACTACCCTCAGGTCTCTTTATCTGAAAGTAAGAGAGCAGGTTTCTAATCTGAAAAAAATGTTGTGATCCAGACATGGTAGCACGTCCCAGCACTAGGAAGACATCTAGAGTTTCAGGCCAGCCTGGACTACAGAGAGAGTTCAGGGCCAGCCTGAGGTACATAGTGAAGCTCGTCTCAAAAACAACAAAACCCCCAAATAACCACAAACCAAACCAACCAAACCAAAATATAGGAAAAAATAATTTGTCTTGATTTTTCCTAGGGGAGCTTTCTATCAACTGAGGGTCAGAGTCTACACATGTCCTCTGTCCTCTGTGTCTGCTGTGTAGGGACCAGTACAGACTCTAGACTGTCACTGATGTGCAGGGGTGGCCATAGTCATGGGTGTTAGGAAGGTAACTGGTGTATCAGATAATCCTGAGCCTCCCAGGTCACTTCTCCTCTGTGCTGTGTCATATAGGGTGAGCGGCCTTCTCTTATCATCGAGGGACTTAGACTTCCTTCATCTAGTGTGTCCCCATCTTTCAGGGGCCTTAAGAGCCATCTATCAGATCTTCTGTAACCAGCCAAGAAGTGAGGGGTAGATGTGGAGGCTCCCACAGTGAATTTGAGGCTTATCCTGGGTCATACAGTGTTTCCATTCATGTTCTACTGTCAAGAATCCAGAGCTCCAGCCCCACTTCCCTGCAGGAGAAATGGAAAGCCAACATGTCTCTGTGCCCAGAAGAAAAACAAACCAAGTGAGGGTACACAGACCAGTATTGTGACATGAGGAAAAACATACAGGGAATCGTAAAATGAACTCAATGTGGCCGATAAACTTTGAGTACCTTACAGTTTCCCCAAATAATTTTATTTAACCCTGAAATGGGCCCGTAAGGGAAGGAGGAAATGGCTAGATCTTTGTATAGTCAAGGAGCATGATGCTTAGGAAAAGTGAATCACTTATGACCCACAGCCAATGATGGACCAACACTAGCTTTCCTGGGCCCTGAGCAATTCCCTGGCATTTCCCACCTGTGGCTTCCTGTGAGACCTAGAACTGCAAAGAAAATAATTCTTATTTTGACCTGAAGGATCTGAGCAATCATTTGACTTTTAGATGAAGTTCTGTGTGGTTTATCTACATATACCACATTATATCGTATAACTCCATATTTATATACTGTATAAATAGGATAAGGAACCAATAAGGAAGCCGTTAAGGAGACTGCATAGCCTAGTCTTGAAAGTCACTGCCTAGGCCTCTGTGTTACCTTTCTTTCTTTCTTTCTTTCTTTCTTTCTTTCTTTCTTTCTTTCTTTCTTCCTTCCTTCCTTCCTTCCTTCCTTCCTTCCTTTCTTTCTTTCTCTCTTTCTTTCCTTCTTTCATTTTTTAATTTTGTGTTTATGAATTTCTTGGCTGCATATATGTATGTGTACCAAGTATGTGCCTGGTGCCAGCCTAAGCCAGAAAAGGATGCCAGATCCCCTAGAACTAGAGCAACAGACTGATGTGAGCTGCCGTGGAAGTGTTGAGAAGGAACGTGGGGCCTCTGCAAGAGCAACAAGTGCTCTTAACCACTGAGCCACCTTCCCGGCCTCTGTGATAGCTTTCTCTCATTATAACAAGGGTAAGAAGTGGTGACATTGTGGAGGAGAAAGGCTTATTGCGCTTACATCTTTTGGTCAGCCGGCCTTGTGTTAGCTACACTCCTTACCTCTCTGACAGAACACCTGACTGAAAGTTTTAAGGGAGGAAGTCTTATTTTAGCCCCATTAGGGCAGGGAAAGTATGGAGGCAAGCAGCCCCATGATGGCATGCGGCTGAGACTCCTTCCCTCCTTGCATCTCCACAGAGCAGAAGCAGAGAGAGGACTCCTGGGGCTCACCTGGCTTTCTCTGTTATGTAACTATGTGCAAGGTTGGACTTGGCTCCTCAGTTCATCTCACCTGAAAGCAAGCCCACAGATATGCCCAGAGACATGCTTCTCATGGGTTCCTAAACCCAGCTGTGTTGACGATGGACTGACCATTGGAACCTCATAGCTTTTGGGCCCTGGGAAAGAAAAACTATGGATGACCTCATTGCTAGGAAGTAAGAGAGGAACCCAAAGCCTGCTCAAGAGCATGGCCCCAAAGACTGAAAGACTTCGCCATTAGGCCCTAACTCTGTAAAGGTCCTACCATCTCCCAGCCTTGTCGTTCTGGGCCAAGTCTTTATCATATAGGTCCCTGGGGAGCAATCAACACACGACTAGAGCTGTCAGGAGCAGAAAATGTCTTTATTATGGAATGGTATGCTTTTAAAAGATTGTTTATTATTTAAAAAACACACAGTACATTTTTACATTATAAGAAGTAAAACATATTTTTTAAAATAAAATGGAGATTATATGAAGTTTAACTGTGATTTTCCAAAGCCTACATCACATAGAAATAAGTTATTTAGTCATATTTTCTCCAAGAAATGCACCCACATTTTGTAACCTTGTGAAAATCCAGGGCTTTGACTTTCTTTGGTAGACTGGGCATATTTTCCATGCTGTTAAAATTTTTTTTCTTAAATATGTTCTTTGGGTCTAAAAGAGTAACTCACTGGAAGAACACTGGCTTGGCACCTACAAGGCCTCCTTTTTAATACTTAGCACTGCAGAAAGAAGTAAGATATGATGTCTGATGTGAGTGTGATATTCTGTAATGACGAATATTTACTCTATGAAGGCATTCTAATGGATGTAGCAAGCATCAGTGTTAGAGTTTAGCTTCTGTGAATATGGATCACGTGCCCAGTTGAGCAGTATTTTTACCATGTCTCCGATAGTGCTAGCTGTATACTCAACGTTACACAGACAAGTCCCGTTTCCCCTTCCACACTAGAAACCGGCAGAGCCAGTATCTGAACCTGAACGATACAATGGCCTCACCTGCTGCCTTAGAACTGACGACACAAGGGCAAAGAGTTAGGACCACAGCTTTAATGTAAAGAGAGTTTCTTGTACAAGAACAGCTGTTTTTTCAAAGCCCTTTGTCATAGAGTAGGCACTGTGTTGGGTGGGGCTGCCTCCTTGGGCTGGAAACCCAGGTCGCAAGGTCTTCACAGTGAGGGAGGGGCCAGGCACACTTCCCATGAGGTTGGCAGGTGAGTACCAAGGTGGAGTGATCCTTGGCCATTCTGAGACTGCGAGGAAGAACTTGAATCCAGCTCTCGTTGTGGCTTAAAATCAGATTCAAAGAGGATGGGTACAATTTCCCATCTTGCAATTATCCTGGATACATTTTATTGGCAACGCTAGAGCTGACCAACTCATGTATTTTTTTCCCTGAGTAATGATTAAAGGGACCAGAGGAAATCTCTCTGGGATAAAGAGATTTGGGGTCTGGCTATGAATCAGTATCCCTCCCGTTGTGACTATGTCACCCTGATGCCCTGGGGCGTGGGCTCCCAGTCTGGCAGACTGAGTGTCTCCTGTTAGGAACATCTCTCTGCAGTAAATATTCTGTAGTTCACGGTCTAGCCAGCTCGTCAGAGATGGTTCACTGCTCTGAAAGCCAGCTGCGCCTTCCCTGCTCACCCACACTCCCACTTCCCTCTGCGGAACAGATTTCCTCTGGCTTAGAGCCACAAGGGTTTCTTGAGCAGGGAAGCATCTAGAGTTTAATGAGTGTCCGGGGTATCCCTCCACTCCCAGGAACCTGAGCCCGGGGAGGTGTTATTGAAGGGGAGGCTGTCCTTCTGCACCTCAGATGCATAGGGAAGACAAAAGAGAGCAGGCGTCCAGCAGGGAGCCTGCGTCCTTTGTGAAGCTCCTGTCTCACTAGAGGGAAAGAAAAGAGTAATTTAGGAGGCATGGAGATTACCCGAGGAACGACAAACAAACTACAAATGTATTTCCTCGTGCAATATCTTTGAGAATTGATTTCCTAAGAGAAGAGGTGACCCCTTGCAAAGCCCGACTTCCTACTGTTGACTTCAGACACTCAGTGTAATGTAAATATGCATAAGTCAGGACCTGCTCACCAACCATCATTTGGCCCGGGAGTTTTGACACTAAACGGACATGCGTATACCAGTTCTCATACTCATCTACAGATGATCTCCTTTTGAATGTTAGCACTTTGGCCTGACTCACTCTCATGATGGTCAATGACCACAGGAAAGACTGTTAATCTCAGATTGCTGGCATTAGAATCCCCTTCTGTGGGTTGGCATCTGGCTTGGGCACCAAAGGGGAAGGGGGTCTGGTCCAGAGTATCATAAACTGTGATGTCACTAAGAGCACAGTTTTTAGATGGGTAAAAGGCTATTGAATTATTTA